GAAGCTAAAAATTGAATCTTTAAATGTTTATATCTAATAATAAACAATAAAAATTTGTCTACATATATTTATATATATGTAAATGTATATATAATATTGATGACACGCACACGTGTACGGGTACTATTAACCAAAAATATAATCATACAGGAATCGTGTTAGCGGAGTGCGGAGAGCGGGGTTGGGCGGATGCGTTACGACGACAGTCTATTAAAGGCCATTAACGACGGGGTACGCGACATAATAACACGTGGAACGCGGAGGGTTACAAACAGATATATAGGTGAAGCTAATATAAGCGTGTTAATGATAGAGAATCGTCTAGACAGTTTTAATAATAAACATTGCATAAATGTGAATATATATTTTGATTAGGAAATAAGATAATACGTATAAATACTGTATTGCTAATGGNAATATATATTTTGATTAGGAAATAAGATAATACGTATAAATACTGTATTGCTAATGGCTCCGTAAATAACAGTATAATAATTTCAGACGGTAGTAAACCATAAAAATAATAATAATAAATCTTTGCTATTTTAATGTTGTATAAATTCGTATACATTATTTCCAAATACACGGAAAACGTTAACGATCAATTTTAAAAACCCTCATATTGTATTGTGCTCGTTTATCAAAAGTCCATTACTATAACAGTAATAATAAAACATAAACAATAATTAATACGCGTTAGATACGAATGTACTACTTGTATAATCGATTCCACCTAAAATATATCAAAAGTTTTTTTTTTTTCTATAGTTTTGACAACGTACTGTGCAAGTCCAAATAACGTGTATTGCACGTATAATAGACAATTGTTAAAAAGAAGTTATCGAAAACTTAGCCGGTCATCNTAATATATATAGTAATGTTTAACCACAAAATCAGGCCCGTAGCCACGTACGGGCTAGTACGGGCGAAGCCCGTACAAGCGACCTCCTTGCCCGTACAGAGCCCGTCTAACCCGTCCAAGAAAAAAAAATCTGAAAAAACTGATGTGTAGAAAAATTTATAGTATTGAAGTTACACAAAATAANTCCAAGAAAAAAAAATCTGAAAAAACTGATGTGTAGAAAAATTTCTAGTATTGAAGTTACACAAAATGTTTCGCGTAATATAGTCGGTGCTGTCGGTCAGTGTTGTTAGTGATATTGGTAGCATGGGAGCCGTTATATTAACTAAATGATAATATAAGATGTGTATATACATATTTAAATTCTCAGAAAAAGTTATTGGAGTAAAATTACTTGTTATCGTGTAATTTGGGTCAATATCTGCTGTATTTACGGTTTTACCCAGTGAATACAGGCGACTTCCAGTTCTCAGTATTTTGTCTTTGATTGTCACGATTTACATCAATGATTATTGAAACATAACATAACATAATGATAATATTGTTACAACTATTATTAAAGATCGCGTAGCCGTCCGTGTAGATAATAACTACTAAGAAGTGCTAGAATAGACAACAGCTTTATTTAATCGCCGATTGTGAACCGCGGATACGCAATTTATAGCGTAGAGGTAAGTATTATTATTTATTAATAGTTTTAATTTATTAAAATTACATTTTTAATTATTAATATTATAAAAAATGAATCTCATGAACGGGATGATATGTTAATTGTCAATCGCAGTGTAAGGTCAAGCGGGGTAATTGTAAACAATTGGGGTAATAGTAAATGCATTTTTTTTAAATAAATTCACATAATTTTATTTCAAATTTATGTTTAATTTGATAGCAACACACACATGGACCAGCACTTTTCAATACACAATTAAACCTACCAAAAGTTATTAGTCGAAATATTCATTTACGTTTACTCTGATTATTTACAATTACCCCGCTTGACCCTATAATGGTTAATGTTATTGTTTCGACACGAAGTTCCTTGACGACTACTTCCGACATGTCGAAAAACCTCTTGGAGCGTGTATGAGTGTATGCCAGTGGTGGATAGTGTCTATGTGTTTAAAATTGCGCACAATTATATAAGTCATTTAATATAAAAACTAAACTTATTTTCAAATTTGTATTTTTACTTTGTTTCTTAAAATAAAAAAATTATAAATATTTTAAATGTATCCGATCATGTGAGGTGGTTGGCGGAAGGGGGTGACCGTAGCTTCTGGGAACACCACTAATAGGGGCCCATAATTATTTCCCTCCCGGGCCCAAACTTTTCTCTCTACGGCTTTGATTGTGGACATTATATTTTTGTTTGATCTGAAATTAGTTCTTCTTATGAATTATTGCTTTGAATGGGTCTTTTTTTTTGGGGGAAAACTTTTTATTTTTTTTATCTAGGCCCAGTAACTAAATTTTTGCAAAAGTCACTGTACTGAATGATTGTAATCTTCAATCAACGATCTTCTTACTATTGCAGTTATGAATAAAACAAATTAATGTATAATGTGTTCCTATTAATTTTTTAAAAGCTTTGTAATTGCTAGCCAACTCAAGGGTGGATACAAGGGGTTGATATTAATGGCAATTACCTTTTCTCATTCTTAAAAAAAAAAAAAGTCAAATATTTAATAAAAATAAAATACTTATAAATATCTTCTTTCAGTACCCACCTTGAGCTAATAGTGAAGTGGTATCTTTTAAAATAAGTGAAGTGCTGTGATTATTTGAGGGTTTCTTTATTTCTTTTTACTATTCACATTATTCGTTATGTTTTTAAAAAGTCATTAACCATTACCTTGTGGTGAAATTTTACTATAATTTTACTGTAAAAAATTAGAATTTTCCAGTCACTGTGTACTAATTTTCCATATTTCAATGAAATTTTCCTACTCGAGTTTGTGAAATATAAAAGAATATTAAATTTGCAGTATTATGGTACAGAAAATTTCCATATTTTTTTTTACAGTATATTTATCAGAAAAATTAAAATGGTGATTTTGAATTGTATGAAATACCTAACAATAACTTACTTTTTTTCACACACTAAATTTTATATTTTTATATCCAAAGCTTCGTCACGGAAACTGAAAATATTATTTCAATTTTCTGTTAAGGTTTTCAAAACTTTCATCTTTTTCAACTAATATGGATATAAGGAATTATTTCGGTCGAAAACGTTCCCGTCTAGAAGAGACTTCCAACTTGCCTAGGATTTCTTCATCTACGAATACTGTAGATGCTCAAGTTGATTCCCAGTCAAACTCAGTAAAGGTGTTATCAACATCAACAGTGTCAATGAATGAGCTAGAAGATTTACCTAAAAAAGGAGAACCTATCAAACAAACAGTTTCGACGCAGTACCCTAAAATTAAAGATCGTTCTTTTCAAGCATCATGGTTCCACGAATATAAGTGGTTGATGTATTCGGTGGAAAAAGACGCTGCCTTTTGTTATGCGTGTATGCAATTCAAACCATCAGGAATGAAAGATGTTGCATATACTTTGAGTGGCTTTAAAAACTGGAAAAATGCTAAAGATGCTAAAAGAGGTTTTCCAAGACATGAAAAGACAGGATCGCATGTTGAAGCTATGATTATGTGGGAAGAAAAAAAGAATCGACAAACTTCAAACACAGAAATTTCAACTATTGTCAATGACAAAACCCTTAAAAAACACAGATATTATTTAAAATCGATTTTCGAAGTCGTTCAATTCCTGGTGATCAATGAACTTTCATTTCGCGGATCCTATGACATTGATGAGAAAGCTGAACGTGGATTATTCATTAAACTTTTCGAGTTCGCATTGAAAAAAGACAGATTTTTAGCTGAATGCAACGAAACTATACCAAATAATGGAAAATACACGTCTCCAGAAATACAAAATGAAATCATTCAAATCATGGCGGAATCTGTTAGAGAATCAGTAGTTATTGATGTGATGAAATCTGATGTTCCATGGTTTACGCTAATGGAAGATGGGACCAAAGACAAAAACAACAGAGAAAACATAGCTATCGCTATTAGATACGTAAAGGAAGGAAAACCTCGAGAATCTTTACTCAATATTATCACAACCAAGGAATTGGACGCTAAAACATTTACCGAGAAAACTATTGAAACATTGCGTGAGAATAGCATCGATCTGTCACGTCTTCTGAGTCAATGCTATGATGGAGCTAATGTGATGAGTGGTAAAAAAGGAGGTGTCTCTGGTCTCTTGGAACAACACCTTAATCGTAAAATTCCTTACATACACTGCTTCAACCATCGTCTCCATCTCGTCGTTGTAAAAGCAGTGTCTGACAATGATTCTCTGAGGGACTTTTTCGACATTTGTGTGATGCTACATGAATTTTTTCACCATCCCAAAATTTCTTCTTTATATGAAGGACAGACCATTGTACGATTGCTACCGCAACGATGGTCCGGTCATTTTGCAATTACGAAGGTGGTGTCATCAAACTACTCTGAAATCAATCGAGTGCTGGATCAAGTAGTCACCCAGTCAACACTGTTCAATGGAGAAGATAGAGCAAAGAGTATCGGGATCAAAACAGTTATAGAGACGGAAGAATTTCGATTTTGCTTGATTTTTGCAAAAAAGTTTTTGGGGCTCTTACATCCAGCGGATGCTGCAATGCAGTCACGGACAGCGAGCCTGAAAGTCGGGCTTGATGTTGTAAAGTCAGTTCTTCAACAACTTCAAGTTATGAGAACAAGCCAAAAGGAATTCGAGTTGATTTTAGAAGATGCGAATAAGTTCATACCAATGATCGAATCAACGAACAATACAATGTCCAAACGAAAAATCAAAACAAGTGAGCATCCAAGCTACATTACTGAGACCAGATTACCTTCATACTCTGCAAATCACGCAATTGATGGGGATTTACAAAACTCAAAGATGAAGCTAAAACAAACTTACAATGAATGCCTAGATCTTATTATAAATGAAATCAATCGACGCTTCTCAGACAATCAAGAGCTAGTTACTGCCATTTCCAGAATAAGCGAATTCAAAACTGATAATATGAATGTTTTCAAGGAACTCGGTAATTCTAAAAATTTACAGTAAATGTGAATTTTTTTACTAGCATGTTTCTTACTACCCTTTCACTAGTAACTCAAATTCATTTATTTTCAGGTTTGAAAGTTCCCAGTGAAGAAGAATTGGCAGTTGTGAAAAACTTCCTCATCCAGCGAGAAGCACAGACTGACGATGGAACTAGATTAGAGGTACTTTTCAGATTTCGTGAAGCTTTCCTTGAAACGTACGAATTGATGGCAGCTGTTGAGACATTTGGGTGTAGTACAGCAACTTGCGAATCAACTTTTTCAACATTGACTGCAATCAATAGGCCACAGCGCTTGTCAATGTCCCATGCTCGCATGGCTGATCTAGTGTACTTGGCTTTCGAACGACATCGCACAAGTGCATTGAATATCGATGTAGTTCTCCGAAAATTTAATGATAGGAAAAATCGTAAACTGGCATTGTACCAAGTTACCTAATAATATTTTCTGTATGTTTTCTTTCGCACATGAAATTTAAAAATACAAAGCATACACGTTCATCACTCATTTATTGTTTGTTTATTTATTTATTTATTATTTTCATCATTTATTGTTGTAAATTTTACCCTGCCCGCAGGCCCGTATCCAGAAATTCATTTCGGGGGGTGCCCAAGTTCCCAAAAATTTTTTGACAAGCAAAAAAAAAAAAGGTCTCAAAGCAATCAAGGCCCCTCGCCCCCCCCCTGGATATGTGCCTGCCCGTCTTACTTTACTTTGTGCCCGTACAACTAGTTAGGTCTGGCTACGGGCCTGCGGTCATCCCTATACGTCACCAAACGACCGATCTATACACCAGCAACACCAATAGAACCAAATAACCGTTAGGAAAATTGCATACGTCTGCCAAAAATTTGTTAATTTTTAAATCGTCTTGGCGTTTGAACAACACTTTCTTCTTGGCAATAATCTTTTAAGAACTTTACAATCGTTTTTCGATAATAACGATTCGACTGATTACATATCTATTATTAATAATATATATTTAAAAACTATTTATTTAATTATGTACGTGGAATATATTAAAAAATAGTCTTCTTATTGTACTCGAACAAAATTACAAACAAATCGGAATGTAATTATTAATATTGTGTTTATTACTATTGATTTATGTAAAACATCTCTCGTTTATAATAACTTTCAATTGTTAAAATTCATTAAATTACAATTTATATGCCGGAATAATTTAATCTAAATAGATTAGGACCTAATATGTCACGATCACATCTGAATCGTCAAAAATAACAGAAATTGTAATACAATACTAATAGTTTACATTATAATTAATTATTACATACTATATTGTACATTATTTGACTGCCATAAGGCAAAACGTGCATATCAAGCGGAATAATTAATGTTCTAAATTATTTTTTTAATATGTTATGTCCTATTGCAACTGTTACAGCTTAAATAGTTACTCTTTATTAGAAACCATTAACGTTAGTTATTGCCGCCGCCGAATCGGGGTGGCGTTAGGCTATAGTACGCATCATACAGAGAGTTCCTATCTTAGTCGACTTAAAAATCTTTTTTGCATTTTTAAAATTGTTTTTTCGACTTTAAATCATTTGACTTTTATCTCTATCAAGACGTAATAATTGTATTATAGTATTATTTAATAAAACAAATTAATATTTGTATATAATATAATATTCGTATATATATATATATATAGGTGTTCAAATAGATATTTATATTAACAATACACATGTATTTTTATTAGAAGCACTGATAATACAAATAAATACTATATTGGTAATGGCTCCTCAAATAATAGCATAATATAATTTCAGACGGTAGTAAAAAATAATAATAGAAAAGTAGTATCTAAATAGCGGGTTCTGGGGATCAAAGGATGCCGCCATGGTAATTAGTGTCATACGTCATCAAAAAGTAATAAATGAAGAGTGTTAATGGGTAATTAAATGGTTAATTAAGGTCAATCGTAATTGTTAAAGTTGTAAATCAAGTGTGTTATTGTTAAAATTGCGATAATAATGTGGGTTGGCGGAGTGTAGGTGGTCAGCTGACTCGGCGTTACGTCGTTGTCGGTGTGACGTATGCAGCAACGCGTGCCCTTCAATCAGGAGCATCACAGGTGTTACGTAATATAATCGCCTTAAGGTCACACGTCACATACAATAATGTTAAAGACTCTGCCCCTGCCTACACCCTCCCCCACGGAGTTGTGCGTCAAACGGTCGCGCGTTATATTGTGTCATCGCAACCGCCGCCGCCGCCGTCGTCGTCGTCGTCGTCGACGGGGTATAAGCCATAGTCGTGTAATCCATAAAATANTTGACGTCCTTCGTGGTACGAGCCAACAATTATATTGCAGTCAACTCGTATGCATGTCACCTTTGTAATAGATAACGGAAAATCCGACGTGTGTTCCATTTTCGGTGCCAATACACGAGGTCGGAATCCCAGCATTCCACCGATTGATTGTGGGTGTGTAAAATCTATGGCGTGATCGCATTTGATTATACTTCGCATAGTGTTGCGATCGGCTGTGAAAGAAATAACGTTTCGATCACCCAACTCTTTGTCACCGATTTCACTGCTGTTTTCCTTGAGCAAACCAACCGTTGGCAACAATGGATCATCAAAATCTAATTGTTTTTGCATACTGTACTTGTATTCTTCTCCATTGTACTTGTCGGTAATTCGTTTCTGTAAATCGTCAAATTCGTACGATCCCGTCGGTAGTGTTATCACCATAATTGGTTTGTCAACAGTGCCGAAAATGAATTTGTTACAATCCTCATCAATATTCGGTATCGTGTTCCACGTATGCAAGCTCAATAGTCCAATTTTACATTTGTCACCGACATCGATGGGTGGATTGAATGTGCATTGCAATTCAGATCCCACGCCGATTAACGTCACCGTTGTTGCCATGTTGTTGTTGTTGTTCAATTAAAAATTCCAAACACAAGTGACCACAATTTACCTCGTTGAAGTTTTGATATCTACTATAATTGTGCACGATCGCGCATCCTTTAAAGTATCGTTGCAGCTCCAACGGTGGTCGTAAATTACCAAAACTGTCAAAATACGTAATGCGTTTACCATGTTTACTATATACTACCCAATGAGTGCCAGGGTTAGTGGAAAGGTCTAAGTTCACTACACCCATTTCGATTGTTTTCGGTCCCGACTGAGGTAACTTGTCACGACAGAACACGCCACGAAACACTTTACGATCGAACGCTCGACTACCGAAATTTGCAATTTCAACATCGTACAAGGCACGATCGGGTAGCTGTGAAATTAGTTTTTTGTTTTTTTCTTATGATTTTTTCGAGACGTCTTTTTCTTAGTTTTCGTACTCGCCGTCAATTTGAAACCAGACCCCGATTTGTATGGTTGCAGGTAAAATCCTTTACCTATGCTTATCGCTGTATTGCCTTTACGGTTAATTTCGGTAGCCATCTTGACCACATTTGCAGCACCGCCGGCTAAAGCTCCCAACGCCGACAGTCCGGCAAATATAGGTATAAGCGGTAGTACACCGCCTTTAGTTTTCGGAACGTTTATGGTACGGGGCAGTGGAATTTTTTTCTTTCTCACCACACGCCGTGCTGCCATCAACGATCGTTTTGCCACACTCAATAAATCCATTTGTTGAGCATTTTTATCAAGTTTGGCCGCACGCACGATTCGTTTAAAACCCATACCGAGTTTACGTTTCAATTTCATTGCGTTGGTCACACTCCAAGCTGCGACTCGTTCAGGCAATTTAGCGTCTTTGGCCAACACTCGTTCCCAAGCCCGATGTTCCAACACCTTATCCGCTTTATGACGGTCCTCGAGATTCTTGTATTTACTATAAATGATATCGTGATTGCGGCAAGCAGCATCAAGCGGGTTCACTCCAACGTCACCTCGCTTTAATCTCTTTTCTAACCGTGTTCCAGGGCCCGCAAATTGATAACCTAAATGGTAAACATTTAAAATAATGATAAAACTATTTACAAAGAATAATTTTGAATAATTACATACACACACAGACACATACACACCTGGAATGTGGGCTTCGAATGGTAATTTGTTGATTACACTGTTCAATATCCCTGCACCTTGTTTTCCACGTTGTCTCTGTTTAACCATTATTTTCATATTGACGGTAATGGTTCGATGACGTGCGATGCGTTTCAAAAAACAGACCCTCACGCTACCTATCGTGAATTTTGAAAAAAGTAGTGATATTGCATCCAGTAAACACGGTAAACTATTGCCAAACACAATACGTGCATTGATTTGCGGACCGTCAAATTGTGGAAAAACAAACTTGATGTTTACCCTACTGACCGATATCAACGGACTTCGATTTGAAAATGTATACGTTTACTCAAAATCGTTGCATCAGTGCAAGTATCAACTACTCGTGGAAGTTTTACGTGGTGTCCAAGGAGTGCAGTTGTTTACCTATGAAAACGGGGAAGATGTACCGTCGGTGGATAACATCCTGCCCAATTCTGTTTTTATATTCGACGATGTTGTTATGGAAAAACAAAATGTAATGTGTGATTATTTCGCGCGTGGACGTCACCGTCGAGTTGACGTGTTTTTTCTCTCACAAACATTATCACGCATACAAAAACAAATGTTACGTGACAACACAAATTTGGTGGTGTTGTTCCGACAGGATGAAGTTAATCTACGGCACGCGTACGATGAATACGTGTGTTGCGATATGAAATTCGGCGAATTCAAAGAGTTTTGCAAACATTGTTGGAACAAAGACCGGTATGGATTTGCAGTGATTTGTTTAGACTTCGCGCGTGACGGTGGTCGGTATAGATACAAGTTTGACACATTTGTGACGATATGAGTACTATTAATAATAGAATTCGTGAAGAAAAAAAAACGTTGTTGAAATTATTGACGGAAGCCCGGGAAAATGTTCGAAAAAAGTACACGGAATTGCATCGTGGTGAAGCGGATTCATTGAGTCGCGTAAAACGAGAATTGGCACCAATCATTGCACCATTGGATAAAATCGTGACACAGCAACAGCAACAGCAACAGCAGCAGCAACAACAACATGAACAACAACTACAGCAATCCATCAAAAGTTTAAATGATGATAGATACAATATGGAACATGATGATGGGTTTTTCCATCAGTACATGCACCAATGGTCAATGAACCCGAACAGAGACAAAATGTATGGACCAAAAGTGACACCAGAAGGAACATTGACAATAGGTGGAGTCGACAATATCTTTGTCGATGGAGGAATAATCAACGTACTGGAGAAAAAATTCCTGCTGACATTAGGTCTTGTGGACTTACTTTTTTCGAAAAATCCCGGTGTTTACTCCGAATCGGATTTGCAGGCATACAAAACAATTTTACTCGAAACCGGTGTACATTTGAATAAAGACGGAACATTAAAAAAAGGAGGTCAAAAATATGTTAACACTATTAAACCATTGTTTGAAAACAATGATGGTGGTAGCGCAAACAATTCCTTACCATTATTTGAAAACAGCAGCATCAGTGACACATCTATTATCGGTGCGGGTCTACAGTTAAGGTTGAACAACAAGAAAAAAGAGTATGTGTACTGGGACGAACCCAACGAGCTCGTAGATCGTTTACGTTTATTGATATCGGCCCGGTCAGCTGGTAACACTGGAGTTGCACCGGAAATCATTTCTATATTGGAAGAGTTGCAGGAAACCGGTTACATTGAACAAATACCATCAACATTATGAATAAGAACATTGCCTATGAACTACATCAGCAG